GAGGTTCTGAGACTTAAAAAAAATACAATACAGAATATTTTTAACTTGCCATTTTTTAAAATTAAGGAAAGTTTTAAAACATTTAAATATATGTGCATTCCATTTCAGCAGGCTCTCACCATGTTTTTATTTCATGTTAAAGGCTTTCTTTAGGCCCTCCAGTGCCTGTGTTTCAGTTATTTTCCCCCAGTTTCTTGGGAGGTCTGCTGGGTTAGCATTATAACTTTTAGCGAACTGGTGATTGAACTTCTGAAAAACAAACTTCCAGTAATCAGAAGCCTCAATGCTGGGATCTGGCTGAATGCGCCAGTCTGGGTAATAGACGCGATAATCTTTGTAGGGATGAAATTTCCCTTTTGTGTCTAAATTTCGGAATGAGTTCTCAGAAACCACTTTAGATGAGCATATATCATAGACAAGTTTTTGTGTATCAAGATACCCGTAACTGCATAATCCTTGTGGCCGATGCACAGATGCAAAATGCTCCTTGTGGTCACTGCCTCCTGCTTCACAGGGGACTTTACAAAATGGACACTGCTTGCCACAGCCAAACACTCGCTTAAAAATTACATCCTGGGGTTTTAATGACAGATTGGAGAGTTTGGTGTGAATATCCAAATCACCAAATTGGGATAAGATTTCTTGTTCCAGATCCAGAAGAAAGGTTTGAATATTAGCACAAAACTGGCCTGTTTTTGCTGTGTTTTTAAACTGTATCCCAACTAAGTTGTCCTTGGAAATGACTAGGTCCTGCTGCAGCGCTTCACAAAAGTTCTTTAAAAATGCTAAGGCTGTGGTATTTTTTTCATTTTTGGAGCTTTCCAAAACTTCCCTCACTTTCTTTACTATTGTAGATAGAATGTTTTTCTCCAACTCTCCCAAATGCTTAGTCTCCCTGTAATGATCCATAATACGCCTCTGAATCCAGATTTTGACAAATTCTTTATAGTTTGTAATATATTTCACATAGTTATCAAAATTCATCTCCTCCAGAAGCTTTTTCTGTACAGCGAACTGGAAGAAGGTCCGGCTGCCATATTCAACGGACTCTGCCTTGCTGAGAATGTCATCTATTATCTCTATGCCTAGTCTTTTGTTGATATAATCCACCAAGGCGGGTTTGAGACATTGATTACAGAAATCCCTGGCCCTTGTTTGGTTCTCATCTTTTTCCAAATACAGGTCAGTAAATGTGGAGAAATACTGAGGTTTCAGTTTCTCTAAACGACACTGAGGATCATTTTGTTTGATAAAATCTTCATGCATCTTCTGAAAGCTCCAAGCTGCCTCCCCCAAAATATGAATTTTCAGGTCAACTTCAAAGCAAGCAGTAGTGCCAAGTTTTTTAACATCCTCCTGTTGGAGCCTTTTGTTGATTATGTTCAACAATTCTGTGCAATAGATTTCATCATAGTCCACTTTGGAATTTACCTTTTCTTCAGTGTATCTTTTACCCTCATCTATTAAGGATTTAGCAAGTTCTTCTGTGTGAACAGCTGTTTCACATTCCCCTATGAACAACAGTTTTTTCATAGTTTTGATCCATGCTGAATCTAGATACTCCTTTTTCATTCTGAAATTGTCAATTCCATGAAACAACAAACTACCTGATTCCTGTAGCTTCTGCCTGACGGCACTCCCTCGATTTGCCAGGTCCTTTCTCAACTGGGACTCCATCTCTCGATAAATTTCATGTTTCTGTAAACTGCTGAACTCCAACTCTGACAGTGTTTCTCTCCACATGTTTTCAAATTCTAATTTCAGTTCCTCATGCTCTAGTTTATGTTTTTAGTTCCTACATTCATCCAAGACCCTGTCAACTTTCCCTTCAATTAGCTGCATGTATGAGGTCTGGATATTTTCTGTCTTGAGCTGGCCTTTTCGAATTCGAATTGCTTCCTCGCACTTGTTCTCGGAGTAGCTCTT